TAAAATATGTGTACAAACAGCTATGATACGAGATAGAGAGAGATGAGTATAACAGAAAGATCTATGCAAAGTACTAAGAATTCATTTTTTAAACTTTTTTAAATTTTGAATTCCAAAATCTCTCCTTCCCTCTAGCCCCTCCCCTACCCATTGAGAAGACAAATAATGTGATACCCACTATACGTGTGAAGTCATGCAAAACATATTTCTACATTGGCCATGTGGCAAAAAGAAAAAAAATGCAAGAAAAATAAAGTGAAAAACAATATACTTTGATCTGTACTCAGTTCATCAGTTATCACTCTGGAGGTGAATAGCATCTTTCATCATGAGTCCTTTGGAGTTCTCTTGGATCACTGTCTTGATCAAAGTAACAAAGTCTTTCACAATTGATCATCTTTATATCATTGCTCTGACTGTGTACAATGTTCTCCTGGTTCCACTCATTTCACTTTACATAAGTTCATATAAGTTTTCCTAAGTTTTTGTGAAACCAATCCCCTCATCATTTTTTACAGCACAATAAGTTTCATCACAATCACATACTACAACTTGTTCAGCCATTCCCCAATTAATGGGCATCCCCTCAGTTTCCAGTTCTTTGCCCCCACAAAAAAAACTGCTATAAATATTTTCGTACAAACAGGTCCTTTTCCTTTTTCTTTGATCTCTTTGGATACAGACCTCAAAGTACTAAGAATTCTGAGGAGTGGCATGGAATAGGTGATCACTACAGAAAGCTTCATGGGAGAAGAGGTAGGCCTTGAAGAAATCAACCAATCAGCATGTGTTGAGTCTCCATTATAGGCCTTCCAGGCAAGTGGTGTCTTCCTTTTAGGCCTTATAAGGATGAGAACCAGTGCAAAAGCTAAGATAGGAGACAGAATGTCATATATGAAGGACAGCATGTAAGCTGGTGGGGCTATAACAGAAGAGAGAACATGAAGCAGATTACGTAATAAGCCTGGGAAGACAAAATGAAGCCAGACCGCAAACGGCTTTAAATGCCAAAGAGGAGAGTCTGTATTCTATCCTAGAGGCAATGGGGAGTCACTGGATCTTTCTGAACGCACGGGTGGGGAATGATATAGTCAGAACTGTGCTTTAGGAAAATCACTTTGGCAGCTGTATAGAGGTCAAAAGAGAGACAGGAAAGAAGCGGCAGAGAGGTCAATTAAGAAGCTAATGAAATTGTTCAGGTTAAAGTTAATGAGGGCCTGAACTAAAGTAATGGTGCCTATGTGAGAAGAGAGGAGACAGATATGAGAAATACTGCAGAAGACTGACTGGTTGACTGATAGAAGCAGAATTAAATTAGTCTAGAAATTCAGGTTGAAGCCAAATTGTGGAAGGCTTTGAATGCCAGGATAAGTAGTTTATATATAATTTGGTAGGCAGTAGGGAACTTCCGAAACTTCTGAGTAGAGGAATAAAATGATCAGAGCAACAGGGCATCAGGAAGATTGTTCAAGCAATGGTTAAAAGTACTGGCCAATGTGAGGATTAAATAGAAAACTACCGAAGAGAACATGACAGTAGTCTAGGCAAGACTCAATGAGTCCTTAAACTACAGTCAACACAGTGGGGGATAGAAAGGAAAGAATTGGTGAAGGAATATTGGGCAAGTGGGTACAGAACGGGCAGCAGTTGGTAATGAATAACAATAATGACTCACATTTGTAAAGGGCTCTGAGGCTGGCAGAGCACTTTCTGCACCACCTTCCTGAAAGGTAGGTGTTACAATGGTTATCCCCAATTTACAAACTGGATATGGGGTCTAATGGAGGAAGAAGAGTGAAAGGTAACTCATATACTACAGAAAACATGCAATTATTCTACAACTATTTCCATTTGAAACCAAGACGTAATGGCTTCTCCAACTCCTAATCAGCTAAGAAAAAAATAATTGTTTTTCGTGATTAGTAAGATTTAAAAAAAAAATATGACAGAGATAAATAGGAAGATAACTATTTGTAATGCCCTGTTGGTTAAGGAAAGAAAACAAGACTTTTTGGGTCTGTTTCCTTATGCCTTCCATTCCCAGGAGCTACAAGAAGAGCAAAAATAGGCTAGAGGTTTATTGACTGTAATCCACCAAACGTGCCACAGTAGTATAAATACCCAAGCTTGCTAGATATAAGGTTCTTGAGGGGGGTGACAGCAAGAACAAAGATGGATTTCGCCCTAGTTTATCTTATCATAGCAGCACACAAACCAACCAGTGCTGGCTAAAAACGCAACAGAGAAATCAAAGACCCAAATGGGAAATTAAATCCAGAGCTGGATTTAGGACCCCCACGAAACACAAAAGTCACATTCGAAGGGACCCGACACACACAAGAGAGAGATTTGCTAAAGCTTCAATCATATTGATTTTTTTTAAGTTGGAATGGAACCTACCTGGAAAGAAAGATTTATGCCAACTCCTGGAGGTACCATTAGTTTTCACATTTCTGCTTCAAACTCAATTTCATATTTTTCTGCTTAATGAATTCTTTATCTGCCTAGCTACAGACCGACAAAGTACAAAAAGGGAGACATCTACATAAAATAAAAAACAAGTGTCTATGGGGTAAATCTTTCATCTTAGAAAGGAAGACAGAAAGGAATATTTGAGAAAAAACAAAATGCAACGTCCAAAAGTACCACCAACTGACCCCCCCAAAAAATATCCTACTTATACACTCTGGGACCTATTATTAAAAAGGATGGGGAAAGATGTCACTTTCCCAAGCCCCAAAAATATGTTAAGCCAGGACAAATACGTCAAAATTAATGATGTCATTTAATTCTTTTTCCAGAATTTAAATACTGAGTAGGTCTTCTTTACTATACATAATATTCAACAAAGATCCTCTGTTCTCTACAGGGAATGAAGCTAGTGCTGAAAGAGGTGCTTTTCAGAAATCATGGCCACATTTTAAAAAAAAAAAGTAAACTGAGTTTTACTAAGCAAATGTAAATGAAAACAACATACTGAAGTACATCATACACAGAGGAACTGTAGGCAGATAACGATTCCAATTGCCCCTACAAACACTGTCAAATGGAATGTGGGTTTCAGAAAACATTTACTTCTAGATAATCTTAAAAACCATAATATTTGCTTCCAAAAGGTACTCATTTGTTTCAGGGACAAACTAAATACAACCAGAGTTGTCAATAACACAGCATCCTTTGCAGTATACTCTGGTATAACATATGCCAGCACTGATGTTTTTAGGTCATTTCCTTTGCACCACACACAGGTACAGTTTTCAAAAGCAAGTTTTCCAATATGCTTTTAAACACATATTGAGTAGCCTTGTCAATTACTGATCAGACAAGATGATCAGTAATTGTGTTACTGATGTTAGTAACTGTGCTACTGATGCTAGAAAATGGGCAAAAATAATACTACAAAGAAAAAGTGTTGTAACACTTTCCAACCTCAAAAAAGATATCAAAATGTCAAAAGGGCCACTTTTACTACAATAAAAGACATTATTTCTCTTGTTCTCTTAAATCTGGATTGCATGCTCAAAGCTCAGGAAGGATGGACAAAGCTCTAAAAAGCTCTGAATATAGAAAACAGAAGAGAGGTAGCTTTAATGCTATTAAGTGCTGTGGAAACCATCTCCCTGGCAACTACATATTTTCTGTATCCATTTCATTCTGGATCTTACTTTCAAAGGCTGAAAATTCCCAAATATCTTCATGGCAAAGAAAAATAAATAAAAAACATTTGTTTGCTCTTAAAGGTCATGGAAGCCTCTCAGGTAATAGAACATTCTAATTTCATTTTAAAATAGAAGTGTCTGCTTTCTTCTTTCATTTTCCAAGCAACACCTCACTGCTTTCTCATGACCTCAAAGCAGAACTGGAAAACATCCAGACAGGAGAAGATTTGGGTTGTTGTTTGTTTGTTTGTTTTATTTTGTTTTCAGGATTTGGGTAAGAGGAGGAAGAAATGAACGGAAGAGGATATGTGGAAATCTGCTTTCTCTAATTTATTTTTTTTAAACCAGAGCTCAAATTTTCCCAATTTTTATTATATTGATATTGTTGCCTAGCTGAACATGAAAGATAAAATAACTTTCCTCTGCAGATTTCTTTGCCAAAAAAAAATCATTTCTATCAGCAGGATTTCAAATTAGATATATATGCAGCTGCACCTAAACCTGCTATTCACACAATGTGTGCATTCCCTAAAAAAAACCTGCTCCAAAATGCCAAGGATGGTGAGCAATTTAGGAGAGGCATCTTAATTATTAGGTAACTATAGTCATTTATTATTTAATATCCAGGTAAAAAGATATTAGGCATTAAGATTTTTCACATAGTTCATAAAAAATAAGTATAGAACTTTTGAAAGATACCACAGAAAGTATTTGGAAGTTTGGAAAAACCAACTTACAACACAGGGAGTGAAGAATCAACCAATCATAACCAGGATCAACCAATAATTTATCCTCAAAACAAATCAATCCCTAAAGAAACACTATTGTCTCAATGTATCAAAGTGAAAAAAATTTAAGTATACAAGACAATCTAAAAAGTACAAAATATGGAGCAATTCTACTCTACCACCATTACTAGACCTTAGAAAAGAAGCTATGAAGTTTCCATTCATCTCTTCAATCATTAGTCACAATAATGGAAGAACCTGACGTTCTAATGTGTCGTTCCCTTAAAGCCAACAGGAGTATGGTTTCAAGCAAGCTCAGGTGGTGGTAGAATTTTTCTTCCTTAGTCAAAGATTTTTGTCTGAACTATCCGACTGAAAAATTAAAAGACAAACCATTTCCTGCAATGGGTTCTATAGTTTAATATGTACAGTACAGGAGGCTGGAGGACAGAGAAAAGAGAGAAGAAAAAAACCAGGAAATGAAGTGGAGCTGATTTATATGTATTTAATGTTCTGTCTCTAAGACAGAGAGACCATACATGGTAAAAATAAGAAAAACAATAAAACAGTCTTAGAGAAGTTTTGAAGTCTACTTAAGAATAATGGTGCTCACCTGATATACATGGAATGCATTAGCAGCCTTCCCCCGAAGAAAAACAGAGGGAATCCAGACATTTATCAGAGCTCGGTTTGATCTAACCAAAATAAAGAGAGAGAAAATGGTCAAAATGGGTCACTGTCCCTCATTGTTTTAAAAATCATGAAGCTAAACAAATGATTTCACCTTTAACTTGAATCACTGAGAGAAAACAATTTACAACATATGCTTTTATTTAAAACTAAGTAAAAAGCCATTTCAGTCTAATGTGTCAGTCCATAAACTGTCTTCATGGGAAAGTTGGCTTAAAAAGATTTTTTTTTCTCTACTAATGATTAGATCCAAATTATAGCAGAGCAGACGGCATTATAGGCAATGGGAACAATTCAAAATCAACTGTGTCCTAACTATAAAAATAGGATTGCATGGCTGTGAGAGTACCAGACCCTCCTGCTCATTAAAGCTGTTGTAGTGGTAAATGCATTTTCAAGAGTGTTCTCTCCAAAGAGCAGCACATAAAAATTCTCTAACTCTTGCACTTAGAGCACAATTTGAGATGTTTACTATGGAAGTATTTGTGATGCAATGTTCTCTCAACCTCTAGTGTAAAATGCATTTTATTTTAAAGAGGCAAAAACCACTCCAACTAATAGCTATCTCCTGAGGCAGGATTTCATCTAAGCTCAGCTCTAAGGTAGTGACCCCCTCCAGGAAGAAAATAAGACTTATTGATCACACCCCTAATACTCAAAGCACAGCCCTGCATTTTGAAGTCTCCAAATAAGTTTGTACATCGAATGAAATTTCTTTTGTCAAAGTCAGAATAATGGTACAAGTGCCCAGAGTCATCTCCTTTAATTTCCCTATGAAAATATTTCAGGACATAACTAATATAACAAAGATAACTGCAATCAGGAAGATATTCCAGTATATTCTTTAAAGATCCACTTAAAAGTTATAAGTCACTATAAATGATACAGATTTCATGTCAAATAACCTCAATACATATTACTGAATTCCACACCAGTCATGGATTCTATTTTGAGAAACAGCAGCTCCTAGAAGTAAAATACATATAAACGGTTAAAGAGTTTTCATTTGGTCAACATCTCTACAATCACTTGTCACTATAAACTAGACTCTACTTACCAGCTTTTAGGAAACCTCATACCTACAGAACCTGTTCTTTGACTTTAAACTCAGTTTATCTATTGGCCCCTCCCACTTCATCCTATCTAGGATATTAACTATTGCCTGGCTACGTTTAAGTGACTAAGCCTTTGCCAAGAAAACCTCAAATGGGGTCACAAAGAATCAGACATGACTGAAACAAGCCAACAACAAAAACAAAGCCTTATTGCATGGCTAAAACTCAATACTGCCCCAACACCCTTCGACTCTCATTTTTTTAATACTCCATTCTTTTACTCTTACAGTTAGATTACTTCTGTCCTCTCTAACTTCAATATTGCTCCTTTAAGTGCATGCCATAAGAGGTCTGTTGAATAAAGTCTCAGGGCTGTGAATAACTGGCCTATACAAATATATGTCGTCTATCTTCAAGCTGGCTATTTATTGCACTTCCTATGGAATTTGTTTCATACTCTCTACATTTTCCTCAACCCGTCCTCAACCACCACACTATCCTTTACAGATAACAATCCCTCTTAATTTCATTTGCTCTTCTTCATTGGATCTTAATCACACGCCTTCAAAAGTACATAAAAGTCTTCCCTATTGGAGGGGAGAAGAGTTTTATTTTTTTCTACCTCATTTTATTACTTAATTTTCTTCTATTTACTCATAGCTCATCCTTTTGACCATTCTTCTGATCTTTATATACCATTTGATGCAGATAGTAAGTCTTATGATCCACTCCATAATAAAACTCTTCTTTCTGACTCTACAATACCTTGCATTAATTTATGACTGATCCTTTTGGGGATACTTTTCTCTACCTCTAACTACAAGCATTCTCACAGGGTTCACACAGCAATTCTTAGCTCTTTTTCTCCCTCCAATCACTTTCATGACTTCAATTATCTCCCATTTGGATGATGTTCCAATTTATATCTCCATCCCTGACACTTTCCCTAACTAGTTCCACAGCACCAATTTCTCACTTGAAGCACCATCATGCTGAACATATTTAAAAACCAAACTTAACATCTCTGCTTCCCTCTCCCTTCTCCAAACTTTCCTGTATATATATATATATCATAATGATTTCCCTAAAATACTAGTTTCATCATATAACTCCCTGGCTAGAAAACTTTCAACAAGGATGCTCTTATGTTTACATTTTTATTAGTAGAACAATTTTATTGATCATTGGGTCAGAGATTCAGAAAAGAAAGAGAATTTAGATATACCAGATATATAAAATACATATAAAAAGCTTCCATTCTCTATGCATACAAACACAAATCATTCCTTTCTTTCTTCTGTGTTGGAGACTGTGGGGAAGATAAAGAAGTACTATTTGCACATGTTCTCCAGATATCTCAAAATACCATCCCTAGAAATTTTGGAGAAGATATGCTTCTAAAGAAATTTTCATGTAAGTAGCAACAAAATTCAAGGCCAATCCTCTTACACAAAAGAAATTCTCCACAATTCTACTTGTAAACAATAAACTACAGTCTATCACAGGTAATAATGAATGGTTAAAGGATGGTCATTGATGTAGATCAACCAGATACTGATGGGAAATGGTGAAGCTCTTCAGTATCTGGCTATTATTTTTCTTAAATAGATCATGAAACAAAGTCAAAGCTAAGTTTGCTTCTCAAACCAAGCCATGTGAATAAAAAAAAAAAAAGACAAGTGAATCAAGTGAATTTTTTTAGTTCAATGTTTATGTCAACTTTCATCATGATAAAGTTAAGATGGCAATCAGTATAATACAGATTTTTATTTCTAATTCATATACAGAACATGAGTATTTTTATGATCTGATCATTATGCCTAATTGCTCTTTTAGCAAACTCTTTAATATAATTTAAATAGTTCCTTACATCCCACCTATTCTATGAAGAGTACCTAGATTGATCAGAAGGAAAACAACAATTTTTCCCTAATCACACAGATAATGTTTTTCATTTTTGCCACAATTAACTCTAACATTTTAACTTAAAAATATTTACTGAGCACCATTTTTTTATCTAGCAATCTAATGCCTCAATTTGTATGATTAATAAGTCTTGAAAAAAGGTCCAGAGAAATAATGTTATAAATGGGCAATCAACCGAATGATGTTACACCACAGTTTTGCAACCTTTAATGCATTGATGATACTGTTTCAAGTCTTCACAGTCTTCTCCCCATTTCCTACCAGCTGCACTGCCTTTGGAAGCCCCTTCCATCATGCTTTCCTTCCCTAGAAAACTAATCATTGGGAAATCTCATTATCCTGCACGACTTCAATCATCTCACATTTGGATGATATTCCAATCTATATCTTCATCCCTGAAATTTTCCGTAACTAGTTCCATAGCACCAATTTCTCACCTGAAGCACCATCATATCATTTCAAATTCAACAAACCAGCTTGCTGATTGGTCTCCTGCCACAAGTCTCTCCCCACAATAATCCATCCTCCACTCAGCTATCAAATTGATCTACCTAAAGTGAAGATCTGACCATGTCACTCTACCACTAAATAAATTGCAGTGGCTCTCTGTCACCTGCAGGATCAAATATAAAGCCCTCTGTTTGGCATTTGAAACCCTTCATAACCTCCACCCCCCTACATTTCCAGACTTCTTACACCTCATGGTCCTCCATGTACTCTTTGATCCAGTAACACTGGACTCCTTGATGTACCACAAACAAGAAAGTCTATCTCCTGATTTCCATCTCCAGGCATTTTTACTGGCTGTCCTTCATGACTTGAATGCTCTTCCTCTTTATCTCTATCTCTTGGCTTCCCTGGCTTCCTTCAAGTCCCAGCTAAAATTCTGCCTTCTCCAGAAAGGCTCTCCTGATCCCCCTTAATTCTAGAGCCCTCTCATTGTTGATTATTTCCCATTTATACTGTACATAATTTGACCGTATACAGTTGTTTGCATATTGTTTCCCCTATTAGACTACGAGCTCCTTGAAAGCAGGGATTGTCTTTTGCTTATCTTGTATCCCCAACACTTAGTCAAGTACCTGGAACAGAGAAGGGATTTAATAAACGTTTACTGACTAACTGGATTTTGTCTTCTATAAATTACTGCTCTCATTCTTCCTGCAATCCAGCTATTCTCTATGATATCTGGATTGAAAGATATACACATATAGCTTTCTCCCTTCCTCTTTTGAACAGATTACAAAAATCGTGGCAAGTGCATATTTACTAGCCCTGGGCTAGAGATGTAGGGGACTGAACATGAGCTCATCACTCCTACATTCCAAGTCCAAAAGTCAAAATCCCCTTCTCATTCACTAGCTTCTTAACCAGGTGGTCTCTTGCAATTCTACCTCTGTCTTCAATGGTCCTTGCTTTCAGTGGCAGCAGTGAAGAAAACATCACTTGTGCTCCTAAGGATTTCAGTTTCTTCCCCAAGATTTCATATCCCTTAGCAATGCTTTCCAGAAGCCTTCTTACAGTAAGATTTGTTGCCATCATGAAAGGAGTGGCAGGCATCCAGTTTGATCAGTCTTAGTGATTCTCTATGATGATCTGGATACCTGACCCAGGAATACATGAGACCTCTGTGGTGCTAATGTCAGATTGCCAAACAGTTGCCTCAGTCAGTACCCATCAGCAAGGAGGCCCTTATTTCTTCCTCTGATAATAATCTTGCACCTGACATCATTGGTTGAAGAACAAACAGTCGTTTTTGTTTTGTTTCTGTTTTTTCCTGAGAGGGTCCAAAGCCCTTGTCTTTGGGAAGAGTACTGAGCTCCAAACATTCAGTGATTCTTCTCTTTCTCCTCTAACATTTTACTCTCCCACCTCAGAAGTAAAGATACCCATCTGCTTCTTCAGACTTCTTTTCCTCTGAAACTTCTCTTCTATTTTTCAAAAGAACATTTCATTTTTCCCTTATAACTCTATGGAGTAGAGAGTCATTCCTCAAGTCCCTTCCTCTTTGATTCCAGAAGGGAGATCAGCCTGTTCTTTGGATTATAGATGAGTTATTTGACCATGACTAAAGATGAATGCTAAACATTCAAGAAAGACTGCTGCAAAATTCTTCCTGTTCTGTGTATTTCATGGAAGTGAGATGCTCAGGCTTTTGTTATTCTTAATACTACCTCCTTTTACCCAACTCACAAAATAACAAGTAAACTGTTTACCTTTGATATTATAATAGATTTATGATTTCATCAGTTTGTATACTCCTATCACTGATGGGTATCTCAAACTCTTAACAATTTACCTCATGAAATTTTTGTTCACACTTTCCTATAAATTGTCCAAAGAGAATCCACGCAAACTTCATTTAGAATCTACTCAAGGAGGATCTCTCCCCAGTTAGAAGTGATCTCTCCCCTTCCCTATTCTCTCAATCTTGACCTTTTTTATGTATATCCTCATTAGTAATATCATTATTTGTGTTCACATAGATTATAAACTCTTTGAGGAAAGGACCTCACAGATCATGAGGTGGGTGTGCCATTATAACCAGCCCACATTCTGTGCAAATTTATGGGAGGGATTGTGTTATTTTTCATCTCAATATCTTGAGAACCTTCAGGGGTTTTATAGTCTATGTTTAGCACTGCACATATATAATATCTAACATTTGTTTAATTGAATTAGATATCTAAGGTGTTAGAGGCCTTCTTATTTTGTAGTAGAAGGATAACAATGTATCACTTAAACTATTTACCTACTCTCTCTTGTTATCATTACATTACCAGCCCATCTCTTTTTTCTAAACACATATGTGTGTGTTTATAAAAATCAAAATACCAAGACTAGGTTTGTCATATCAAGTGATCAACTTGAGATCTGAACCCTTTTGAGATCTGAACAGCAATTTTTTTTTCTCCTTATGGTATAATGGCTCAGGGATAAACCTGGCATTGGGTGTTAGCCAAATTAAACCATTTCCATTTTAAAGTACATCTTTAAAGTACATCTTAAGTACATTTTAAAGTACATCTTTAAAGTACATCTTAAGATGCTAAAGACTTACATTTCAAAATCTGACAAACTTTGGTCTTCAGATGTTTGACTCAAATCTCCAGGCACCTGCCATCACAAGAGAGAAAGAAAAAGCATAACTGTTATTATGGTGTGTGCATAATGATGGTAGAATTCTTCCTCTGAATGATTCCTGAACATTTTGCTTTAAGAATGCAGCTAAAAAGCTATTACTGAAAAACAATAAAGGGTTTGGGGGATAATGGAGGGGGGCCTGTTCCAGTAATAAAAATATGCCACCAGTGAGAGATCTCAATTATCTTTATGGGGGAGAAAGTCGCTAATCCTATTGAGATAATCATAGGCATGTAAGAGCATGTAATTTTGGAGCTAAAACAGACTAATTAGAATCCTAGATGGAAAGTATCAGATATGTGGATGATAAATACACAGGATAAAGCATCACATATCTAGTATGTGGAGATAAGATACCAATGTCTACCTTAAGCACAGCCCTATTTTCCCCCCCAATGATAACTCAGCTTATGTTTACAAAAATCCTCTGTTTGATAAAACCCTTCAGAGAGGGATGGATTTAAAAAAAAAAACTTCCTGACATTTACACCCAGGAATCCATTAAGTGATAGGATAGTGATAAGCCTCAGGATCATCAGAGGAATGTGCTGGAATGAAACTACCAATCAATTAATCAACAAACAGTGATTAATAAGTGCCTCCCATGTGCCAGGCACTGTGCCGGATACAGAAGATACAAAAACAGAAAATGAAACTTTCCAGTCCTAAAGGAACTTTGCATTTTACTAACAAAGCACTGGTATCAACACAAAAGTCCAAAAGCAGGCACTGAATACCCCTCTGGACCAAGCTTCCTCATTTGGTTTGGCCAAGTCAAACTTTGCTGAATCTTCAAGAAGAAAAACAGAATGAAGGAGGAGCTGAGTAAATCACAGAAGAAATAAAAACTGTTAACTTGATCATTTCTATTTCCACTGAGAGCACATTAAAAGGAAATGGCCAAACTGGAGCATGAAGGATTTAGGTTAGACATAGATGATCTTTCTTCTAAAATGGGTATTATGTACCTGGATGAATTACTGTGATAACAATAATAGCTGTTACTATTGATGCTGCCACTATTCCTACTACTATTACCAATCACATAGTCGTTTAACACTTGCAGAGTGCTTTTCATTTACAATAACCTTTGAGGTAGGTGATGTAAGTATGATTAATCTCATTTTGCCAATGAGAAAACTAAGCTTAAAGTCTAAGTCAGAGCCAGAATTCAATCCAGGCCCTCCTGACTCCAAGTCTAGCATTCTTTCCACTATATCATGTAACTTCACTGAAACTATGGTCTCTCCTTTATGGAAATCTAAAAATAGGACTAGTCTAGTCATTAGTCTAGGAGAATATTGATAAAATCCTCTCTAGATCCAGGCAGATAGCCTAGATTAAGTTCTCAAGAGTCTTTGTTCTCCTAAGACTCATTGGTCCTAACTGGTTAAACTGGGCTTTATCAAACAGCAAAATGCCCTATAAAGAGATGTTACTGGGGTGAGTCTCCTTAAGTATGGCAAAGAGTAAAATGATTGTGAACTTTAAAGAACTTAGGTTAAATTACACACGCAGACTCCCTGTACAACTACAGAATTCTAATCACAGCACAGATATAGTTGACATCTTTGTTTCACAACACCAATACTATAATAGAGTCCTGCTAGGTTAAACACTAGGGGCAGGGATGTGACTCCAATACTACATTTTGAATCAACTCCTAGAACCATTTTCATTTATATTGAGAAGAGGACCCTAAAAAGACAGAACTGAAAATCAAGTCTCTAGCTTTTATACATGGATTACATTGGAAAGGCAGCCTTGGGCAATTTCTTTCATCTCTTGGCTTCAATTTCATGATCTGGGAAATCAGGGAACATTTCTCTAAGAGATACTATGAGGATTAAGTAAATAGATCTGAAGGTAGAAATAAAAAACTGTTTAGCATCAGTATCATTATATTACCACAAATCACTGACTCCTTTAATTTTTACTTCATACATATATTGGAAAAGTTGCTGTTCTGAATTAGCAAATATCATTTATAATAAAATACAATTCCTACCAACTCCATCAAGAAGGGCAGAGGTGAAGAAACAAAGAAAATATATGATAGCATTATTGACAATGTGTTGCTATGATGACAGATATTACTTTGTAATTATAAAGGATTAGCAATGATGGCTTAATCTTAAAATGCTGTAAAAATTCTCGACAGAAATATTTTCCTCTCTTATGATTATTTTTAGTTATATTCTGGACAGATTAAATTGCAGGTGACCTTCAAGTAATTCTCCTTCAAATGAGTTTCTCCTGTAATTATGTAGTGTTCTCTGTGCCATCCCAGTTCTAAATTTATTGCACCTACATGAGTGTCATGTTAGCTAGGTAGGAACATAATTCATGAACTCCATAACCTTCATAGAATACACCTGGATAATCACAATTGGTACTACTATATTTGTACAGTTATAATTGACAGGAAGAGTTATTAAATGTTTTAAGAATTTTTATCATCATCATAGTTTCACCAAACTATCTGGACAAAAATATACCTATAAAGATTTGTAGTAATGCTCTAGAAAACTGTTTTTACCTAGAGAATTTTAGCAAAAAAAAAAGAGAGCCAACTGTAAGAAATATTAGGTTTTACCAATGTTATCCATGAAAATTCCACATGTGTTCCAAAATTCCTATTTCTATGAAAATGTCTTCTCTCTTTTGAATCCCAGAGATCTTATACTTGCTGGGGAAACCATGTTCTCTGTGCTATAGGCCTTTCTTCTGACTCGCCCCTCACATCAATCATACATTAATGAATATAAACTTGAAATTGTCACTTAATAATTATAAATGAAAATGTCACTCACTACTATCTAAGTTTAGTGTAAAGTACCTCATCTTCTAATTGATAATCTTAGAAAACACACTATGAAAGCAGGTTTCAAGGCAGGCAGTAGGAATGACGTGGAGAAAGGAAGTGAAATCTAAAAACACGTACACACATAATAGCTGCCAAGTCCACGTGAAAACTCTGGCCCACTGTTGGAAGTGGGAATGGGAGTATTAGAAAGAATATCTATACAGGTCTCTTATAAAGCCCCCAGTGCCAACAGCACAATAACAGTAACAATGACACTCTTCTAGTTCTGTCACAAGCCTGACTGCTCCCTGTGCCCTGTTCTCCCTGCAACTCTTTAGTGTGGGAATCCATCAAGATTCTCTCCTTGGCTCTCTTCTCTTGGCCCTGCGCATGGTCCTCCCTCATGATCTCATCCTCTAGGCTGACGTTAATTATCAGCTCTCTGTAGATGACTCCCAAATCCACTTACTGACACGTGACAAATCTCCAGAACTATAGTCCTGCTGGACATTTCCACATGGTTATCTTGCTGGCACCCCAAACAAAAGTCAACTGATCTCATCTACTTCACAAACACTCTACCCAACTTCCCTCTTCTTGTTGATGGCAGCCTGAAACCTCAGTCACCTTGTTTCTCTTTCTCCTTCACATCTAATGTATATCTAATCAGTTGTTAGGTCCTGCCATTACTACCTTATAATATCTTACACATCTCACAGAAGATACTAGGATCTTCAAAAAAAAAAAATGCAACTCTCTCATTTTAGAGATGAAGAAACAGAAATCCAGAGAGAGCAAATGATCTTTTTTCCAATCATTCTCCCATCACCCTAGTTTAGGCCTTTATCCTTTCTCACCTTGACTACCATAATACTCTCCTAATAAGGCTCCTGGCCTCTTAGTTCTTCCTCCTTTCCAACAAATCCTTCATACCACTAGCAAAATTATCCTCTTAATAATATGTCTTTCTCCTGCCCCAAGACCATCATTTAAAAAAAAAAAAAAGACTCCTCCTTAATTATAGGAAATAATACAAACTGCTAATCTTGGCACTTAAGCCATTGTGTAATCGGACTCCAATCTAGTGTTACCTCTATTCATCTACTTCCCCTTCACATTAGTCTATATACCAATGAAACTGAACTTCTAAGTGTACCCCAATCTTGTTCTACACTTTCACCTGTGCAGGCCACCCCTGTGACTGGAAAGCACAATACATGTCTGCCTTCTGATATCCTGACACTGCCTTGATATTATTACCTGGGTGACTTTGGCTAACATCACTTCCCTGAACCTTAAATGTAACATAAGGGAATTTGGAGTAGAAGGCCCTTTTCTACTTTAAATCTGTAATCCTGTGGTCTTCTCTCTTCCTCAAGGCCCTGCTGACATACTCCCTCTTCCATAATTTTTCTCCTGGTCACTCCACCAGAAATTTTTCTCTTCCTCCTCAAACTTCTCACATTTTTATCTGGATATCTCCTTGGTACTTATACATTATAGGCAAGAACTCTACGTTATTGCTTTAAACTGTATTTCTACCAGCACTGTCTTACACATAGTACACATCTAATACATGCTTGTGAAACAACTGAGTTTTACCAAATGATTTAAGAACAGTTCTGAACCATGCTTCATCAATTAGAAAAACATATGGTAGAAAACCAGAAGGCTTTAAAAAAAAAAAAGAAAAGAAACATTTCTAGCTCTGAAAGCTACCAAATTCAGCCTACGACACACACGCATGCGCGCGCACACACAAACACACAGAAAAAGAACAGGGTCCTTTCTGAAGCTAAGTCCTAGTTGCAACTACCCCTTCAAGACTGATCCAGGAAATCTTGGGAGAAACAGAGGAACAAAGAGAATTATTCTTCTTAATTTCTCTCATCCCTGACTCTGTCCTCTAGCACCATTCCCAGTCTTGTTGTCAGAAATATGGTTACTTTAGGTAGTAGATTTTGCCCAGGAGAACAAACACATGATTTTATTTCAAGGAAGGCAACAACTTGAGTTTACAGATGGAATTGGAAAGTATGGAGCTATTTTTAGAGTTAACTATTCTGTTAGAAAATTTTAACAGTCCTTCTCCTGCTTTTATGGTCTACATCACTTCTCAAAAATGCCTAAATTTTCCTCTTTGTTGCAATCCAGATGGAAAATGTGA